TTTTAAAAGAAGCCTTGGCACATGTTGACGTTTCCCCCATTTTCAGCTTTCGGCGCCATGTCACTCTCTAGGCAGCCACAGCAATGGTAAAAGACCCCGATGAGATACCCATTACGTATCTTAACAAAGCCAAGCCTGCACAATGTCGATTCTAGATACTGCGCCAATGACATCAGGCGCACAGCCTTTGAAATATCGCACTTTTATCCGCGTTTGTTTTGAGAATGATGAACAACGCTCAAAGCCAGCCTATTGCTGGCAGTTATGGAAGGCGGGCCGTCGTTCCAACGAAGCACATCACCGGGATAGCCCCCCCCCCCCCCCCGAGACACTACTCGAAACTAACCTCTCTCCTCCAAAACCCCAAACAGGCGTTAAATCCTACACCGTCAGCCTCGAGTCTCAAACCGCAACCGTCTTCGCAGAACCTTCGCTCGAATACGACACCGTGCTCAGCACTATCAAGAAGACGGGCAAGACTGTGAATAGTGGCGAGGCGGATGGTGTGCAGAGGGACGTGTAATGGCTATATATATATATATATGTGCATATTCAGTGGCCTGATGCGCATATCAGGGCATGATGTCGGGTTGAGCGGGTTGGCGGGCCTGATCGCGCATGGCGCCCATCATTAAGGGCTTATATTCCTATTTCAGTTAACGGAAGGGACGGACCATAGCTGGAGAGGAAGAGAGGAAGATAACGCTGTATTTTCTTTTTCTTTTTTTTTTTTTCTTTTTTTTTTTTTTTCACGTTTTTCTTTGACGTTCACCTTTTGCATGGATGGATTCCCTACGTTATGATCAGCTCTCTTGATTTTTTGGATTTTTTTTTATGCATGAAGGGCTTTGGTAAGGAGGGCGGGAATACAGAGCGAGATCATCTCATTTCATTAATTGTCCCGGGCCTCTTACGGATTGCAATCGTGTCACATTACGGAGTAACTATCTATCGAAAAACAAGTTTTTAGAAATATTTGTTCTGATGATCCGCTACTCTATCATTGGCTTGACCTGCCATTCTAGATAGACCATTCCTGTCATGCAGCATACACTGTATACAGGAAATCGGCGGCCAAAATAGAACTCTTTTCTAGGATATTAATAAACCCATATCAATTGGCTCCATTGGAGTTTCAAGATATTATGTACAAGGCATTACATCAATTCTCTTCCCAGGCAAATTGGGGTATCGAGTAACTACTGTACAGTATTGCCGTACCGGGAGAGAGAATGACACAAATGGTAAAATGTAAATACCAAATAAGATATGTAGAGTAGCCATGATAGTCCCGGGGAATAGTGTAATCCGCGAAGATCGACAATTTCTCCACAATACACCAAACCACTTAATGCGAGTTTCCACCGCCCGTATATTGACTTCGTAGACATGTCACCGCTTGTCCTTGCTTTAATTATAATGCATTCCAACACCGGCTCTATAAACGCATAGATTTAAACTTTAAACTCTTTCTTTTGAGGAGAGGAAAATATTCTAGAAATCCAGGAGAAAGCGCTGTTTGTGAAAAATAATCCCTCTTAATCACCCAGAACGATGCTTGCGCGTTCGGGCGGGATTCGTTCATAGTATAACGGTGGGCTGCGAGGTCGCTTTCGCAGGCTGCCGTCTCGGATTAAGTGCTGCTGCATGCCATCGTCATTGTGGTACCTTCTACCAAATGATTTAGTTAGTTAATCAAGATCGAAACAGTGTAAAAAGAGACGAAGGAGGTAAACGGAAAGAACATCGATGTTAGTCGACTGGGCGCGGAAACAGATCATTTGTAAGAAAATCAAATCTGTCGCTTGATTGCATACCGTCCATCATCATCAATAGAGAGCCGACCAGTTCGCGAATCATAAAAAGCCGAAGAAGGCTGGGAAGGATTCAACATTGGGCGGCTATTTCGGGGAGGGAAATCTGAACCAACATAGAATGGACTATTGGGCTCAGGAACGGGAGCTACTCGAGAGGAAAATGTTTGTGCCGAATGAGAAAGATCCGGTTGTGATTCAGCTCGGACTCGGTCGTATGCCCTGAACGCACCACGGGGTACATGTCTTGTTTGGCGAGGGCTAGCTGGGGCTGCTTGCCTCCTTTGTGGCTCATGCCTGAAAGACCCATCCGCATCCTGCAAATTAACAGGACACACAAAGTCGTGAGAGTGAAGACTAGAAATTCGAGTATTTTCATCAGGAAAAAAATTTCGCCTAATGGAGGTTTCTTGTGCAACAAAAACTGGACGGCATGCATCCCTAAATGAATTTGGACCTCTTGGGTCTACAAAGTCTTCATAGTCAAAAACCTGACGTTGAGGACGATTGAAATTGGGAAAATGGTTAGGTCTGACGGGTCGCCCGTCATCCCTGACCATATCAAAACTAGGTTTATCAGATGCAGAGACAAAGCGAGGAGATTCTAAAATATTCTGACTGGAAAGACCGTGACGAGCACCATGGGAAATAGGAGCTTCATATCGACGTCCATGTTCGGGATGATCAGAGAAGCCACTGGAGAAATGTGAACTTGAGGGAATAGGATCAAGAGGCCTTTTAGCACCAATTGGAAGTCGCTCAAGATGGTGGCCCAGAACTTCAGGGCCCCCATTTGATGAGAGTGGTTTCTGCTCCGTGTGAAAAAAAGAAACATCCGAGGAACCTGGTTTACGATAAGCTGGGGGATCGTATGGCCCCAATGGTAAGGATATATATGCGCTGTCTCGATCTCTATCCACGGGAGATCTTCCACGAATAGTATTATATTCTACTCGTTGTCTTTTTTGTGAGAAGGTGTGGCTGTCTTTGTTAATGTCAATTACGTTCATCTTGCCTGAGACCTCCTCAATACGAGGGTTGGCAGGCTTCATCTGGTATGGTGGAAATTCATCTGGAACTCTTTTGCGGGGTAACAGGTCCGGCTGTTCCATTGTTTGGTTTCTGAAATGGCTAGGCGGCTCAGGTCCTTCAATTGATGGGAGCACGCAATGTTCCTGATACTCACTGATATCCCCTCCACGGTGGGAGGGAAAATGCAAATCTCCAGAAGGTATACGGTATCTCCTTTCATCGGGGTAATTTTCTAGTACATTTGGGGAGATAAGAGTAGGAGGCAACTGCTTGGGTTTTTGAACGATTATCTCCCGTTCGGGCCATGTGGAGATGTTGGCTCTTTCAAATATAGCACCATCAGCTAATTGGATTCGATCAGGCGGCCCTGCTCGAGATTTCTAATTTTCGGGTAAGTTGGTTGGTTGTTGTCAGTACCAATGATAAAGTAAGGGCAAGTACAAGTAGGGACCCGTCATATTATTGGTTTATACGAGTTAACTTACATTCGGTTCGAGAAAATATGGGCTGCTATCTAATGGCAGGGGATCGATCGTGTTCAGAGGTTGGTTAACGCGTGTTTCATTAGTAGAATCATAGAGTCGTGGAGGGCGCCATGCGCCGGTAATCGATTCAGAGACAAGAGGGCGTGTGGGGTGGCCATTCAGTCTTCCCGTTTCCTGCAAGGGATCCTGCATGGTAGGAGGAACGGAATAGCGATCAACCACATAGTTATCAGGCCTAACTATATCAGGTAAATATTCACCAGCTTTGTATCGGTTGCGGGCTCGATCCCAGGCTTGATATCGACTAAAGCCCCTACGATCCGGTCTTTTCTTGTCTGCAACCTTTCTCTTTCGCGAAGGCTGTGGTACAAATCTGAACCCAGATGGAGCTTCATCTTCAGAGAAATCCTGGACAGCTCCATGGTCACCAACGGGAAGGTTTCCATAGTTCATAGGCCTTGTTTGGAGTTCTCCTGTTAGGGCTTTATTCGATACAACCTCAACGCTCGATTGTCGACCCTCTCTGGAGAAGCTCTCGTCAGCAAGGTCACTCTCGTCTTCCTCGTCATCTTCGTCATCAGAAATAACAATAACCTCGCGGAATACATCTTCCAAAACGGTCTTGCCATTTTCATCGTCGCCTCGCCATTGAACTAGCTTAGCAAGAGTGGGCTCTTCAACCGCAGCTCTGGCATCCTGAAAAGAAGTGATTCTGAGTAGCCGATCATAGTCAGTATAGACGTGACGAATATGAGCTACAACAGCTAATTGCACGCGGCGCGCAAGCGGTAGTTCGACGGCAGTCCCGACTTTTCTTTTGCCCTAAAATTGAGTCAGCAACGAACCCCAACGTGGCGATCAACACACCTTTTGGAACGCCGTTTTGATTATCCGGTTCAAGTCTTTTGTCGGGATATTGGGGAATAAATCCTTGATTGCATCCTTCGCTTCCACGTTAATTGTATTTTGGGATACATCCGAAGCAGCCCGCTTTTCCCTACCAAGGTTCTTGGTCAGACGCCGAGAGGTCTTCGACGCTGCTTGGTATGGAACGACTTTCCCTGTCGACGAAAGAAATAGACCCCGTTCCATACAGATTGTTGCCACAACAACACTAGGGAAGTGATAACCAATCCTATGCACCTGTTGCGAAAGGTCGTGCATTCGTTGATGAGGCGTTGTCTAGAGATGTCAGTGACAAGAATACAAAATTCAAACTCGCAAGTGAAAGTTGGAGGACAGCCAACAGACCGAAACAGCAAAGACCTGGAGCCCATCTTGTCGACACATTTCCTTGCATGCATTAGTAAACTTGGGGTTGCCCGCAGGTATAAAGGTGTAGCCCGGAGGAGCCTTGGCTTCGAACGAGATCTGTGGGCCTTATGTTAAAAAGTTCTGATCCCAAGTCTCCGATATGGCTAAGTTAAGTCACATACAACACTGCGAAGTTTCTTTTTCTCTTGGGTAATGGTCTCCATTATAATTTTATGCTTTCGGATCTTGGGTTTTGGAACCCTGCTTCGAGCGCGCACGGCGGCTTGCGCCGACGTGGCTCGAGCAATCACCCGCGTCATATTTATCGGAGGGAAAGGGTTCACACGATACCAGTTTATAATCCGTAGTCTAGTACATACTCCTGACGACAGATGTGCAGATCAAAGGCACAAGAAGGTGTCGGGAAAGAAACAAAAACTTGGAAAACCTATATCATCAGTGTGCACGGTACATGAACGCACGCTGGGACTCAACAAATCCAGATAATGATATGAAGTTCCAGCATAATCATAGATATGCGGAGATTCTATTTCCTGAGCCCAGAAAGACACTGTCGTTGGGAGAACCGACGACTGATGTCGTGATGAGAAAGGAAGAAGAGTTGTGGTTCCAACAGTTGAGAAAGGGAAGATTGGAAGTGGGAAGGCTGGGCAAACGCTAGTCCTAAAATGGAAGCGCCGCAATCAGCATCTAAAAAGTGGGAAACTATATTACTAACACTACGGAGTAACTAACTAACTCCTAGTTGCTCGTATTTAACCACCGCTAACAGCACATTCAAAGCTCCGGTTAGGGTGAGGGTGAGAATTGGCTTGAGAGATAAGCACGAAATGGCCAAATCTATCATTGAAGTAATAGCGAGCATAATTTTGAACATAGCGAAACCACAGCAGCCAGGATACAAACTAGGTGGATATTGAACTCCACTGACCTTAGCACCAATGGGGATAAGCGTGGTATTTAACTTCTTGGCTTGTCAAATTCCGCTGCGAGCAATTTCGAAGGTGTTGAAATTACTTTGTAACCGTGCCAATTATACCGCCAAGAAGCGCCACCACGTCTTAATGAGTAATTACATTTAGCTTCAAATCACCCCGCATTCTATTTATATGAGATTGCCACGTATTAAGAATGGATTCCTCTTTCTTCTCTAATTTCTCATCTCTGGCATCCCATCTGACAATTCATGACTGTTAAAATATGTGGCACCCAATACCGATATTGCCACAAGAGCTCTTGTGGTGGCTCTTAAATCACCCTATTTTGGCAAGTCAAATGCTGAAATCACGAAAATCACCCAGATCTCAAAGAGTCAAATCAACTGTATATATAAACACACAATTGAACGTGGATTTAACCCTGAACTGCCTCATATTATACTTCGCGATGAATGGCTTAGAGATGCCTCCAAATCCGGCCGACCAACTCAGGGAAATGATAGCATTAAGGATGCTATTCTTGCAAAGGTTCAACATGATCGCTATGGACGAGAAAAGAGCTGTACTGATCTTGCCAATGAATTCAGTAATGAAGGAATTGAGATATCTTCTATGACTATATGGAGGATTCTTCGCAAAGCAGGCCTTCGAAAAACAAAGCCTACATGGAAGCCAGGACTCACTAAGAAGATGCGGTTAGATCGACTTCAATTCTGCCTGGAGCATAAGGATTGAACCTTGGAGGATTGGAAGAATGTCATATGGTCAGATGAAACCTCTGTTATTCTTCTTCATCGATGAGGTGGATATAGAATATGGCGTGCGCCTCATGAGGTGTATTCTCGAAGCTGTATATGTGAATGATGGAAGGGATCCTCTGAATTCATGTTCTGGGCCTGCTTCTCATATGACAAGAAGGGTCCATTACACTGTTGGAGCAGGGAAACCTTGCAGGAGCGTGCTCAATCCCTTGAGTATATTGAGACTTTAAACATGAAGATAGAACCTATAAAGAAGCAAGAATGGGAGCTCTCAAATGGCATACAAAGACTACAGATTGATTGTCAGCAGCCAGGTCAAAAACCAATATGGAAGTTCAAAAAAGCCACAGGCAAGCTATCTCGCGGAAAAGGTAGTGGAATTGATTGGTATTGCTATCAAGTTCAAATCCTCTTACCAAAGCTTTTCCCCTTTGCAAAAGAGTGTCAAATTGATCGTCTGAATACCATTGTGCAGGAGGATAAAGCCCCATCTCATGATCACTATATTCAATGTTATATGTACAACATTCATGGCATTCAACAGTTGCTTTGGTGTGGTAATTCGCCGGATCTCAATGCAATTGAAGCAGCTTGGCCTTGGATGAAGCGCAGAACGATGAAAAAGGGAGCTCCTAAGAATCACGCAGAAGCAGTTAGAGTATGGGATGGGAGCAGGCATGGAAGGATCTGCCACAGGAGAAGATACAGGCATGGATTGAGCGGATTCCTGTACATATTCAAAAGATTATAGAGTTAGAAGGTGGCAATGAGTATAGAGAAGGAAGGCGGCACGGGCAGGTGGAGGAATAGAATACTCAACTGACTACGCGGGGTGGCGGATTGGCAGGCAGATTAAATCAAGATCTGAATATTCAGTATAAAATACAGTGGGAATTTCTGCCAAGATTTGTGGCGCTGTCTAGCTGTCTTTTTGCCGGCGCAATTCTTTTGATAGCGCCCTCCGTAAAGGTAATAACACCGCAACGGTAATAACTTGAAATAGGTATCTTTTGTATGTGATTCTCATATAAAAGATACCTATTTTCATTTTTATGAAAATCATGAATATCTTCAACAATATAATAGATATGAGTTCTATATTATAATAGAAGTATATGATACATATTTCAAGTATATTACAATATTTTTTTCTAAATAAAAATATATCTAAAATGAATTTTACTAAATTCATTCAAATTCATCATAGCAGATTTCAAGTATAAGAGAATGAGAGAGATTTATTATTAAAAAAATATTGGGATATACTTAGAGCGTGATACATATACTTCAATTATAATATAGAACTCATATCTACTATAATGTTGAAGATATTCATGTTTTTCTATAAGTACTGTTTGTATGATGAACTCATACAAAAGGTACCTTTACCGTTGCGGTGTTATTACCTTTACGGTGTGGCGCACTCACTAATGGGAGGTAGTGAGATGCGCTTGGCACGGTTAGTTACTCATAACCCTATCAAATAGAGGAGGCCCTAGCCAGGTGGATTGCATTGAATGATACCTGAATTCATTTGGCATTTTAGTTGTGTCGCTGAGGCTACTAGTGCTTTCAGCCTAACTCCATCCCATCGCTTCCGTTTCTTCCAGCAATGTTTGTGTTGGGCACTAGTTGCCCAGGCGGCCCTCCACCGCACGTGATTACCCCTATATATAGTTAGCTAGCGATCGCACAATGAGAAGATCAACCATCCCACAGTTTGTGCTACCCTAGGCAGCTGCGATTGCCTTACCGATCCTGCAGTGAGCACGGTACTCTCCCCTTCTCCCCTCTTGCCATTCTTTCGAAAGAAAGAAAAATCATTATTTTATATCTTATGCTCATTCTTTGTCATAGATGTCGCTTACTGTCGCTGCGCTCGAAGCCCAATCCCGTAAAATTGCCGTCCTCCATGCTTACAGACATTTATATAGAACCGGCTTACAAACCATACGGTATTCCAGCCCTGCACGTCATGTCCTCCTCTGGACCCTCCGGAAATCGTTTCGAAACGGCACGTCAAAAGAGTTCAATCCCCAGAGAATTGTGAATACACTCGAATTTCTTCGACTGGCATCTAGTTCCACCAGCACTGAGCACAAGATCATCAAGAATCTTTTGCACGTCAGATTCTGGCAGCAACCCCAAAAGCTTGCGTTGGGAGATACCAAATTGTAAGATGAATTCCATCCAGGGATTGTACAATTTTTCTCCTTCTCCGCATCTAATAGTCCCACCAGTTTTGATGCCCAAACCGGAGCACGTTCCCAGATGAGGAGTGCAGCATACAGGCCATTCGAGATGACTCTGAAGATGCTTAATGAAAGCCTTGGTCTCTGTCTTAAATGAGGAAATAGCTCGTGCATTTACCTTCATCGGGACATCCCATTGCCATATCGGAAGATTCTGGCAAACCAACCACGCCTCAAATATGTCATTGGGTAAGAATTAAGACTCTCAAATCAACCGTGAGTTAGCCGCAATTGGATCTCGCAGAGCTTTGAGGCCTAACCACATAAGTACACGAGGAAAGAATAGAACGTCAAATGGTAGCAAGGGAATTGATAGTGTTACCATCTACTTCCCCTTTAGCTAGCATGACGGTTGCAACATGCATGATCGTGCATCCTTGACTAGTATATAAAATCTACCAATCAATCCAGTAGATGAACCAAACAATCTGTAAATTAACATAAATATAAACACAAAAAAAGGAAACAATCCCTTGCACATCTAGATCCCACAAATTACAGCATATTCCTATATTCTGTGCTACGGAATCAGTCCATGTTGTTTGCTGTTGGCCCTCGTTGGACACTTGGCCTGGACGGCGCCATGTCATGTGCTGATGTCAGACGTCACATTAAATACACGCTTCAACCTGCCTCAACGCGACACCAACAGCTGGGATTTGGAGGAGAGATATATACTAATACTTATATAAATAACTTCACCTCCCTGCCTGGCGCTGTCCCCTTTTCTGCTCAATGAGCAGGTATATTTCGTCTTACTTGTCCGAACCACTACTTCGGAGAGCCCGCCAACTGCACGGGTCGCTCTCAGATCAATCAGATACTGGGCCTGAAACGCAACGGACTCGGCCAGGAAATGGCGAATCTCGAGGTGAGGTAGGCGTCACTGGCATGGCCAATTCTAATCGTTCGATTGATGTGCGCCACATGCCTAGCGGGGGTGAGGTTTCCTTTGCTATCCCGGAGGAGGTATCGCATTCCTCCACCCCTCATTATGAAGACGACCATGCATATCGTCATTCCGACATTGATGCCAGGGATCCATCCCTTCCACTGCACCATTTCTCGGCACGGACCCACGTAGCGGTGCTAGAAGAAACGGACGGCACCGCTGAGCGGCCTTTCTCGGACTCAATTGATAGAATGAGTCAACCTCAAACTCCACTCTCGGGACCTGTGCATGTGGATTCTTCTTCCAGGACTATTGGCTCGAATGTCAGAATAGGAGGAATAGTCCAAGCTAGAGAGCCTGATGGAAGAAGCAGTGGTCATAGCGAGCTACATCATGCTGCTGATTTTCATTTGGAAGTGAAAAGTGGGTCAGCGCTGCCGGAGGATGATGGAATGAAGACGCTGAGGGAAAAGATTCACAATATTCGGGATGCAAAAATTTCTAATGCGGAAAAGGCCAGGTTGATACATGCCCTTATGACAGAGAATTACAATTCATCTCTACACAAGAGGTATAGCAAGTCACGTTCACCTACCAGCTGTCATGATCAAGAGCGGCCGTGGACACCGGTGTCAAGTAGTAAACGATCTTCGGGTCCTTTTTCCATGTCCCCTACTTCGCCCACGTCTGCTTCTTCACTCGGGTTTCCCTATCATCTCACTGATGATGATCTACGACCAAGTTACGCGCCTCGACATGACTCATCATCAGATCTATCTGGCGAGAGCATCATTTCGTTCCCAAAAGAATCCGCAAACGATGACGCGGTGGAAGAGGAGAATCTCCAATTAGGCTGTCAACATTATAAGAGGAAAGTAAAACTTCAATGTTATACATGCAAGGCCTGGTACCCTTGCAGATTTTGTCACGACCAAGAAGAAGATCACGTTCTAATTCGAAGAGCGACTCAAAACATGCTCTGCATGGTTTGTCGCACTCCGCAAGCGGCCGGGCTATGGTGCAAATCGTGCGGCATCCAGGCCGCCTGCTACTACTGCTCGGTGTGCAAACTCTGGGATAACGACAGCCAGAAAAGCATTTACCACTGTAACGATTGCGGGATTTGTCGTATCGGTCAAGGGATCGGTAAGGATTATTATCACTGCAAGGTATATCTTGTTCCCATGTTGGTAATTCCGAGTTTCAGCTAACGCCCAATTAGACCTGCTCTGTCTGTATACCAATCTCTATCCAGCAGACTCACAGATGTATCGAACGTTCAACCCAATGTGACTGTCCAATCTGTGGTGACTACATGTTCACCTCTCCCGAGACGGTCATATTCATGAAGTGCGGCCATAGTATCCACCAGAAGTGCTTTTCCCAATATTCAACAACATCATATCGATGTCCCATTTGCAGCAAAACCATTGCAAATATGGAAGCCCATTTTAGAAGCCTAGATCGTGCAATCAAAGACCAGCCAATGCCTCCAGATTTTATGGATACAAGAGCACTAATATCATGCAACGACTGTTCTGCGAAGTCCGCTGTCCAGTACCACTGGCTGGGGTTGAAATGCGAAATGTAAGTCAATCTCGTTTCATATGCTATGCATTATTTACTGACTATTGCTGCAGATGTTACTCTTACAACACAACGCAAATACAACTCCTCACTGCCAATGATAACAATGATGAGAATACCCACCATCGTGAAGCTAATGAAATCTGCAACATATCCCGTAACATAACCGTACCAACTCGGATGACCAGATTGCCACCAAACTCCGACGAGAACCACACACCAACTGAAACTACATTTCTTTCAACTATGTCAAGGTCAGTCCCGGCACATGATTCCAATATCATCCTTGGAACTATTCAGTCTACGGACCAAACAACAAGTTATCGTCGATCCTTCTCCACCATACCTCTACGAACTGTCCCTGCAGTGATAGGAAAATAGTTTGGCCTTCGTCGACAGCGTGATTCGTTTTGGTCTTCCTCGGGCCCCCCGCCAATGATGAGGATAAGAACAGGTCAACCAATAATGATGACGAAGACATCGACTTTTTGGGGTAGCAAAGCTTCCAGGCCTACATTTGGGATATTTGGCGATGGAAAGGATGATGATGAAGTAGTATTGTTCGAAGACGAAAGCGAGAACACTGATGGCTCTGATTATTCTAACAATGATGGACACCAGGAAGATACAGAAGATGAGGATGAAGACGATATTGATGAAATTGACATATTCGGACATCGGTGAAACAATACGAGCCGGGAAATTGCCAAAATGGCTTTAATAATTAAACTGAAGAAAATCAAAGCAAACCGAATTCCGCAGTTGGACTGGAAAGTTCTCTTATCCGGAACTAACGTTGACGATGAAAAAGAATGATAGGGCATTTGCATGCAAAAGAGTTGGAGAGCGTTCGACAAATCTGGCTCTGGTGACATATGTGGCACTCTACTTCCTCGGGATACCAAAACGCTTTCTCGAACCCTGGCGCATAACTGCATCGATCGGCCATAGTCACCTCGGGATTGGATAACTGATATATATAACTCCAGTTCATGAGCCGGTGTTTTCCCTCTCGAGCCAACGAAAATCCGAATACGTCATTAGCCACATGTATATATGCAATATCCGCGCAAACATACGTGCATTTGCCATATTCTAGCGTTGGATATATAGAGCAACGGACCTGCATTTCTCACGACCATTATTGTCGAATCATTATCATCACGATTATGATTACTACAATATTATTGCTACTATCCCTTACGAATCACGTAAAGGAGTCATCCCTCCCTCCAGCCACTGAAAACGAGACGCACGCACGCACGCACGCACGCACGTCTTTCTACGCCGAAGAGTTCTCGATGGCCTACCCATCGTTCCAAAAGGCCTCTATAAGATCAAATCATATGCTGGAGAAACAGATATCCAATACACACACACCTATATATACCTAGACGCTGCTTTTGTCTCCTTGTATCCGTCGTCCTCCCCTATTATCTCGAGGCCTGAGCTGATTATTTTGCGAAACCTTTCTTATCTGGAAAGAAACGAGTGGGGCGGATCGGGTGCGATCCCCTGGTGGGAACACCCCGTCGTGGGCTTTCAAAATGTATTTATATCCATATGTTTCACTTCTTGATATCATCCTCTAATTGGCTATATTAGTTTACATCACTTTTTATTTTTCCCACTTTTCATGCTATTAGTTAGCTCCGGGTTGATGGGCAGATATGTATTTGCAGAAGCGAATATACATTCAGTAGTAACCTTGTTATATATACTCTAGGATGTGTTCAACCGTCTCGTTGATATATATAATATATATGTATATATATATTTTTTATAGATACGATGCGCTGGTGTATTTTGCTATTTTAATTTTATATAGAGCGCATTCGACATGGCCATTGATTATTATACAACATGGATACTTCGGATGTCAATAGAGAGAGGAATAAGGCGAAAATCACCACTTCCCAATATTAGCAATCCCCTCTACGAATCCGAGTTCCTCCCTCTCCGAAACGAAAAGAATCTTTCAAAATATCTAATAAACCCGCAAAACACCCCAATCCTGTTTAAAACCCTGCCGCTCTCTTCTTCTTCCTCTCCTTCACAGCCTTCTTACTAGCCGCATTCCTGCCGCCAAATAGTCCCCTCTCAACCTGCGTCATCGGCACATCCCCTTCCTCCGTAAGTTGGCTGCTCTGCACCATCATCTGTGGGACGGCACTAGTTCGCAAAAAC